CCAAATTCTCAAATCCCCAAATTCTCAAATTCCCAAATTCTCAAATTTCCCAAACTCGCAAATCCCTAAATCCCTAAATCCCTAAATCTCTAAATCCCAAATCCCCAAATTCCTATTTCCCTAAATTCCCAAATCCCCAAATTCCTACTTCCCGAAATTCCTATCTCTTCTAAATTCTATCTCCCCAAATTCCCATTCCCCCAAATTACTAACTCCCCAAATGTCCATTCCCCAAATAGTCCTAACACAAATCCAGAACCCTAACACAAACCTAAAACTCCCAACAATATTAAAAGAAACAACCTCGCCAATCTCGTCCATCGTAAATTTGAAGAATTGTCACCGGAACAGTTTACTTATCCATCCCGTTGTAAGTAGTAATTAAAAAAAGACCAGAACGAACGGCTGACACGAACTCGATTCGAGTATTTCGTTCGGTTGATTGTGTATGCTGTTTTTGTTTTGAAGCCGAGATAGACAAGGATATATCCGCTCCGAATAGACCGACAACAATTGTTCAATTTCAAGTTAACGTACTCGCTCAGTAGTATTTGGTATTGAAATCGATAGCAGTAGCTGGACGACAATATACGGTTCTCTGTCGCGAAGCTCTTCTGCTCGGTTAAATCACTCACCGGTATATTTTGATTTCCAACATCGTTCGTTACTTCTATCTCGGACATGGAAAAAATCGACAAGTCCGAAAATAATTTGGATAACAGTCCGCGTACAATGTTTTTCACTGGTTCGGAAAACCAACGAAAATTAATAACCGCGACGATTAATACTGTCAGTTTCTATGCTCTCCTTTTTTATGGGACTCTATGTTTCTTTGTAAATTGATTGCGTTCTAATCGCTTTGAATGCGGATTGTTTTATCGACTTTCAATCGAAACATCAAATCGGTAGCGCAGCTCTGTTGGAAATTTATTTTTAGTTTTAGCAATTTTTATTGTGATAGATTTATATTATGACGGTTTCTAGATTTCCGTTAGGGTAGTTTTTATGTTATAATTTCAATCGGAACGTCAAATCGGTAGCGCAACTCGGTGGGAAATTTATTTTTAGCTTTAGCAATTTTTATTTTGGTAGATTTATATTATGGCGGTTTCTAGATTAGAGTAGTTTCTAGATTTGTGTTACGGTGAGATGCTGGAGTGTAATTAGGGTAGTTCCTGGATTTGTATTATGGCAATTTCTAGAATTGAATTATGATGGTTTCTAGATTCGTATTAGACTTCTAGATTTAAATTAGGGTATTTTCTATTACAGAATTTTATAGATTTGTATTGCGGAAGGCTCTGCATTTGAATTGCAGCAATTTCTAGATTTGAATTATGGTAGTTTCTACACTTGAATTATGGTAGTTCTTAGATTTGAATTATGGCAGTTTCTAGATTTGTGTTGCGGCAGTTTCTAGATTTGAATTATGGCAATTTATAGACTTTTATTGTGACAGTTCCTAGGTTTGTATGACGACAGTTCTTAGATTTGTATTACAAGTTTCAGATTCCTGATACCTGCCATCTTGCAAAAGTCCCAAAATCTGAACATTCTGTCATTCTGAGCTCACAAGATTTCTAGAACCTCAAAAAGTCCCTAAATCCCTAAAAATCCTTAAGAATCCTACCCTTAATATTTCTATCTGTAAAATTGCCATAGTTTCAAACGGAAAATTTGTAATCTTGTAAGAAGATGTCACAACATTTGAAACACCGATTCTCTTCAAACTTTGTACAACAAAAAAGTGCATTAAAAGTAATAATTCCGCAAAACCATAGCACGCAACTTTCCTTAATAACCAAAAAATTTACTTAAATTGTATTAAGAATCTAAAGGAAGTGATCCAAGAATTAGGGTTCGAAGAAAATAGTTTCACACGAAATTTATATAATAAATTCTTTTTCACGTCTCATGTTTTAATCCCCTGTCATCAACCCGAATAAGTATTTCCTAAAATCTACACATTAAATTTTAATTATATGAAATTATTATTAATTAAAGGATGTTCGAATTTCATTTGTTAATTAATCTTGATAAACGCGCAGTGGGTGGTTTTATAATAACAAAAACATTAATTTCACGCGTCAGAACCACGCAAAGATATATTACATTTCATATACTTAAAAAAGTTTTTTACGCTTTCGCTTTATCGCGGTTGAGCTGCACCTGCTACCCGCGGTATCGAACATGTTAAATTATCGAAAAATTCAGCTAGTTATTCGCGCAACAATGCGGGAACACGGTGATTAATTAACAAATTAACGTGTATCTGTTTGAACTCGGGGATGATTTGTTTTGCGTTGAAAGGAATTTTATTTTACTTATTTTACTTGTTTTACATATTTTACTTATATTACTTATTCTACTTATTTTACTTATTTTATTCATTCTACACATTCTTATAATTCTACTCATTCTACTGATACCACTCGTTCTACTAATTCTTATTATTCTACTCATTCTACTCACTATACTATTCTACTCGATCCACTCATTCCACTCATTCTACTCATTATACTAATTCCACTCATTCCACTCATTCTACTCATTATACTAATTCCACTCGTTCCACTCATTCCACTCACGCTACCCATTCTAGTCACCATACTATTCTACTCGTTCCATACATTCCATTCATTCTACTTATTCTATTCCCTCTACTCCCTCTACTCACTCTGCTCACCCTATTCACTCTATTCATTCAACTGATTCCACTTATTCTACTGATTCCATTCATTCTATTCCGTCTACTCCCTCTACTCAATCTGCTCACTCCATTAACTCTATTCATTTTACTGATTCCACTCATTCTATTCCCTTTACTCCCTCTACTCACTCTGCTTACTCTATTCACTCTATTCATTCTACTGATTCCACTCATTCTACTCATTCTACTCATTCTATTAATACTATGCATTCTACTCGCTCTACTGATTTTACTCGGTTTACGCATTCTACTTATTCTACTCATTCTATTCATTCTACTCATTCTACTCATTCTACTCACTTTACTCATTTTACTCATTCTACTCATTCTACTCATTCTACTCACTTTACTCATTTTACTCATTCTACTCATTCTACTCATTCTACTCACTTTACTCATTTTACTCATTCTACTCATTCTACTCATTCTACTCACTTTACTCATTTTACTCATTCTATCATTCCATTCTACTCATTCTACTCATTCTACTCATTCTACTCATTCTACTCATTCTACTCATTCTACTCATTCTACTCATTCTACTCATTCTACTCATTCTACTCATTCTACTCATTCTACTCATTCTACTCGCTCTACTCATTTTACTCGATTTACTCATTCTACTTATCCTACTTATCCAACTTAATTTATTTATTTTTTACTGATTTTGCTTGTCTTATTTACTTTACATGTTTTACTTCTTCATAAACATTTTACTTATTTCAATTCTATAACAATCATATAAATAAATTCTTACAAAATTTATAATATACAAAAACAATAATAATTTTCAGTCCCTGCCATATACAGTATATACATATGGCTTTAACAGTAATAATTTTCACACAGTAGCTCATGCAATATATACACATAATTGTAACAATAATAACTTTCACACACTAACACATGCAATATATACATATAATTTTAACAATAATAATTTTCACACACTACTACATACAATATATATGTACATATAATGTAAACAATAATAATTTTCACACACTACCACGTTCAATATATACATATAATTTAAGCAATAATAATTTTCACACACGACCACATGCACTATGTGCATATAATTTAAACAATAATAATTTTCACGTATTGCCACATACAATATGCAGAATTTAAAAGTAACCTAAATGTTTCACAATGTGTATCCTCGAACAGGTCAAAAAACAAGGGTGCATCTGGTGACAGAGAATTATCCCGATCGATGTAAATCTTATTGTTATTGCACAATGATTACTGATCGTGACAGAATCCATTGAAGTAAGGCACAGAGGCGTGTAATTAATTCAGTCAAGGGCTCGTCAATCGATCGTTACGTCGAATAATTAATTTCGCGTTGTTGCTTGCATACAGAAATTGGATGAACTTCGATACCCACTTAAATAATTACTTTACGAACATTAATTCGAATTAATTAACGTTTTATTAACCTATGAAATACGAAACATATTTTGATGACTAGGTAATAAATATTTCGTTATCATTTCAATTATTAATTAATTATTAGTTATTTAGTACTATTCAAACTGATATTATGCTTTATGTCACTTAATGTTTAATATTTAAAGATAATTTATTATTTGGTAAATTGTTGTTGGATAATTTTTAAATGTTATTGGTTTTAAAGGGTGAAGTTTAAAAAGAAATATAATTTACAAAAAAAAAAAATGTAAAAAGGAAAATTTTTGGTGAAGGGACATAATTATTATTTATTGTAGACAATATAAATAATGTTTATAACAAATTTGGATAATTGTATGAACATAACTGAGTCACGTTATATTAGTTAATAAATATTGCAAGCATTCTCTAAATTGGTAAAAAACATTATTAAGTGTAAAATACATTATTACTGAAAAATTAAATTTTAATCAAAAGTATAATTCTCAAATAACAAAAATTCAAATAATTATTATCCATGAATAATAAAAATATAAATATGGTAATTTTTCGTCGAAAATATCTATTAAATTTTCGTTAAATATCTATTAATATTATTAATTTGTACAATAATTTTCCTAATACATTAATTTGATATTTTTATTTTTGTTGCAGCTGTCTGAGTCCAAGATCAGCGTATTTCTACGAATTCCCGCCCAATGGTGAGTCGCATGATTGTCTGACCTTAGTCGTTTCTTTTTCGAGATTTCAGAGCAACCTGCAGGAAACTCCACTTCCGTATAGTTCTGTTTAAGTGGCTTTCATTCACAAAGTAAAAGTGGAACACGTCGTATTGTTCTAACTACAACAGACAAGTACACACTCGGATAAGAATACCATATTATTAACGGGACGTTCGTATTTGTCTTGCATAAATTGAACGCCATCTTACTAAAACTTCAACTAAATATTACAAATTTTTCTGAAAAACATCTCAAATTCATTTATAAAATATTATACTGCAGTAAAACTATATTTTTAAAATTATTTTAGTACATTTTTTATTGTGAGTTGAACTTACAATTAGATTTTCAATTTGAACTTAAAATTTGTAGTTAATATATACAGTTAAATTTGTAATTAATTTTAAATATCCTTAACTTTACTTCAGATATTAAACTGCAATATGTACAAATATATTTTAAGAATTATTGCAATACATTTTTTGTTACACAGATGAAGTTAAAGTTTGAACTTGAATTTAAAATTTGTACTTAATTTATGTAGTTGAAGTTTGTACTTAATTTATGTAGTTAAAGTTTGTACCTAATTTATGTAGTTAAAGTTTGTACTTAATTTATGTAGTTAAAATTTGTACTTAATTTATGCAGTTAAAATTTGTACTTAATTTATGTAGTTGAATTTATAATTAATTTAAGTAACACAATTTTTAGCTATTTTAAACAGCAAAATTTATCTGTTAGCTTATATAAATTATATTGAATGAACAGTTAGTTTAAATACTTAAATTTAAATTCAATTTAAATACTCAAATTTACAGTCAGTGTAAATACTCAAATATTCAGTATGAATACTTAAATTCAAGTCAATATACACAGACATCGAAAGAAATAAAAAGGCACTCAAATTTGTTAAACAGCCCCAGCATAAAATATTTGTTACACCCTCAAAGAAGCCTCCTAAAGTAAAATTGGGTAGAATATGAAAATGGCGCAAAGGTTTCTCATTTGCGGTGGTTTATTCGTTGATTTTTACGAGTAGGTCGGAAGACATAACCTGCAAAGCAGCAAAGAAATGATGTTAAGAGCATATACTCGTATCCTTTTATTACCACCATCTTCGATTGATGTACCACTAAGGAAGTTAAGCTTATACCGCTTTATCGTCTCCATCGCATCAAGGATCACGTTTCTACTTTCATACAGCGAGCTTAATTTTTCAGTTCCATTAAGACTACTCTTAAGCGATACTCGTATTTCACCATAAACTTTTCTACCTTTTGATGAAATGTTTACCATCATGTTTTCGTACCGTAATCATAATGCGCAAACACACACAGCGTTACCGGTTTTCGTTCACATTTTAATTAGAACGACGTTTAAAAATATTTTATGTAGAAAAATTAATTTGTAAGATATTTCAAGCTTTGTTCTACATTTCACCATATTTTCAAATTCGTCTCTCAGTCTCTCAATGTTGCGTCGTCCTTTTCTCGATTATTCTTGAAGCCAGCACGATACACCCAACATGTCGGCTAAACTCGTTTGTGTATAAGATAGGTTGAAAAATTAACAATATAGGTAAGGTGCCGATGGAATTTATTCAGCAACAGCTTTTAGTAGGTTTTAAAGTGACTTGATTGAATGTTGAATCGTTTCTGACATCTTTACATTTTGGTATATGCGAAGTAAACAATTTTTGATTATGAAGTGGTGGTTCTACTAATCCGACCTAAGCTGTAGAAGGAAGAAATAGAAGATAGAAGAAGGCTGGACTAACGGTTTCGTTCATCAACGTTCTTCAGGTAGTTTGGAAAAAATTCTAATTTTTAGGGACAAGTTTACAGCGTTACGGTTAACTACTATTATAGTCTGAAAAATATGGCGCCCTAAAACAGTTTGGGTTTTCCGTCATCATCTGTTTCCACGGTTTGGGTCCTAACTGTACAATACTACGACGCTACAAATTGTAAATGACTAAATAAACGTTACAAATTGCAAATGACTAAATAAACTTTGAAAATGATAAATAAGTGAACAAGATATGATAAAATAATTTTGAACAAAAATGATGACCTAAACAGAACTGAATAAGGTTTCAAAATTTGTATTCAATCATCTCTCGCTCTTCCTATTACTCCTATTCATCAACCTCCCCAGTTTCCCCAATTTTCAATCTACAAGAACTAACAGAATTTGATCTAACAATTCGTGAATCCTTGCACTCTCCAAAGAGTAATTGCTGCCTTATTTTTATGGAACAGTGAAAAATTGAGACGAATGAGTGTTCTGACTTTTTGTGCAGCCCTCGAGTTGTCTCAGCGACAAGGAAGAGGATGAAATCTATGGTTTTGATACGGAGTCTTCAGCAGACAGACTTTCCCCCAATTTTCATCCTCCTAATATTTTCGATTCTAAATAAACTAGTGAATCTATTTCGGTTCGTTTAGTGGTTTCGTTGAATATAGCGATACAGTAAAAGCAGTCTCTTGAATCCTGTTTGGAACAAATAGCAGTCGGTGTAGCACAGTTAAGGCATTTCGCGGATCAAGCAAACTGAGCAATCGTGTTTGCGTATTCCGGCAAGCGTCACGAGTTTTAGGTTAAGTTTGTGTCTGGATTTCGATAGCTGTTTGTACGCTGCAACAACAGCTAAGGATTGTAACGATCCGACATTGACGCCTCTTACATGAAATTACTGTTAAACATGCACCATTTAGATAGCACGTTGTTGGTTTAACTTGATTAGCCTTCGACAACGTGTCTTCGTGACACAGAAATGTAATCGCTAAGTCAGAACTACTCCTAGCTGTCTGATATTTGGACTGAATAAATTTACTCTTTTAAACATTCATCAAATTTATTTTATTGTTAATATTATTACTATTTTGATTGTTGAAATTTAAAATTAAAGGGTGTTTTATTATACTGCTGTTTTATTATTATCACTATGTTATTGAATTAATTTTATAAATTATTGCAAGAATTTTAGTAAATAAATACTTCATGAAAAATAGCAAAATATATGGTATTACTATTTTTGTATTAAATTTATAATATTATTGCTGTATATTTATTATATTTGTGGTACTACAATAATAATATTTAGGTATTCAGATGTGCATAATAACATAATCTAATTTGTTTGACTGGTCCTTGAAATACTTTCTCAAAGTAAATAACAAAATATATGCTATTATTATTTTTGTATTAAATTTATAATATTGCTGCTGTATTTATTTATTTGTGGTACAACTACAATAATAATACATAAGTATTTAGATGTGCATAATAACATAACCTAATTCGTTTGACTGATCCTTGAAATACTTTCTCAAAGTAAATAACAAAATATATGCTATTAATATTTTTGTATTATATTTATAATATTGTTGCTGTATTATTTTTAATATACTTCTGATACAACAACAATAATAATACTTAAGTATTTAAATGTCCATAATAACATAACCTAATTCACTTAATCCTTGCAATGCTCCCCCAAAATATTTTAAAACATAAAAATTTTTACCAAAAAATAGTTCACGTCAGCAAAGAAACCAAATCGATAATAATTCAGCAGAAAATCAGTGTTACGCCGCAAGGAATGAAATAATAATCGCCAGGGGAGTAAAATTCATTGTTAAAAATATATAAACTGACGGATAACGTGGAAAGACCTTGATCTCAATTATATATTCATAGAATTGGAAATGGTGAGCCCGAAAGGGGCAAAGATAGCCGACTGAAGTCGGTAGAAATAAAATATCAAAGCTTTGCCCTCTTTGGCTCGCACGCCAACTGCTTCTCCAATATCTAGTGTTTTTCGATATCTTAAAAAATTCCAATAGCACGAATCGGCCATTTCGGCCTTTCTGCTTGATTTTATTTTCCGTCTTAGTACGTACACTTTCGACGCAACTGCCTCTTTCGTACGTCTTCCACTTTGCAGATGCTATTGGAAAATTCTGTAGATGCGTTTTTATAAATTCTACTTTCCTTGATGAAATCTTTGATTTTATTATTTTTGATATTTTGTAAGGAAACTTTTATAGGGTAGACACAATTTAATTTTTTCAATGAAATACGTAGTTGAGTAACTCATGAGGTTAGGAAAATGGCGGACGTGGTACACCATTGATACATCTTTATTATTTTTAATGTTTCGCAATGGAACTTTTACAGGGTAGACGCAATTTAATTTTTTTGATGAAATATGTAGTTGAGTAACTCATGAGGTTAAGAAAATGGCGGACGTGGTACACAATTGATACATCTTTATTATTTTTGATGGTTCACAATGGAACTTTTACAGGATAGACACAATTTAATTTTTTTGATGAAATATGTAGTTGAGTAACTCATGAGGTTAAGAAAATGGCGGACGTGGTACACAATTGATACATCTTTATTATTTTTGATGGTTCACAATGGAACTTTTACAGGGAAGACACAATTTTATTTTTTCAATGAAATACGTAGTTGAGTAGCAACTCATGAGGTTAGGAAAATGGCGGACAATTTAGATACACAATTAATACATCTTTTGTACGAATTACAGTAGTGTTCGTGATAATTGTATTAGTTTATTTATAAAACTAGTTTGACACAATATAAAATTTTCTTTCTGTCTTTGATCTTTTTTATATTTCTTTGAAAATGACTATAAATATTCATATCACAGTTGCATTTGAATTATTGTCTATACATTATTGAATTATTGTCTAACTGTTTAGTTATTGTCGTTTAATTTCTTGAATTATTATTGTACAATTACTATAATTATAATTGCTCAATTATTTAAATTATTGTTTATTTTTAAGCATGTACCTTGAAGAATTTAAAACTGATTTAAATACATTGCATACCAAATTAAGATTTTTGCAACAAAGATCTAAGATGTATCACTTTGAAAATGTTTACAAAAACAACATTCAAAGACTTATAATTTAAAAGTCATTGAATACCTCCAAATTTGTGAA